GAGACAGCCAATCACAACAGAGGTTATTAACATACATCAGTCTTAAATGCACAGTAATAAACACTAATCCTAAGACAGTGGTTCTCAATTCAGTTTTCAGGGCCTCCCAGACACAGAACCCATTTTCACTCCAAACCAATTCGCAGCCTCTGAAATGAAGGAAATATGTGGACCGTCTGGGGGTCTCTGAGGACCAGTTTGAGCCACTGTTGTAAGGGATAAAGAGAAGGTGGAGACGGTCGTGTAAAAATGAATTACAGCTGTTTACAGTACATAAACCTGCACAGATGTCATAAGAGGACATCAGGGAAAATAAAGCTTAATTAAAATGTAAAATATTGGCTTCTTAGAGTGAAATCCAGACAGAGAATCCTCTAAAATCACATGCTCACACTGCAAACCCTGTACGGATCCACTTTGGCTTTATTGGGGTTTTTCTCCAGTCGGTTAAAGGGAGTTTGTGTCTGATGTGTGTGTTGAATGGCGTGTGATCGTGTCTGTCTCTGTTTTACCTCCCTCTAGTGAGCTTTTAGAGCTCAGATGAGAAAGAGAAAGGGATCATGGGTAGAGCAGGTGTGTAGACTTCAGCCAGGCTGCATGACAACTCCGTCTCTCGCGCTTTCGTCTTAGTTTTCCTCTTCCTCCATCATTCTTTTCTATTATTCTGTGCATTTCCCTTGCATTTTTTCCTCCTTTTCTTGCTTTTCATTTTGGACTCGATATTTCTACTTGTTTTTTCTCTCTCATCTATCATCTCCTCTCTACCACTGGGCTATGCATTCTCTTTCTCTTCTTTTATGTTTGAGTTTTTCCTCCTATTTCTCTTTTCCTCTTTTGGATCCTTTTTCTTGTTGTTTCACTTCTCTTTCGGTCTCTCCTCTTGCACTGGACTTTAAGTTTGCATTTTTCTCCTTTTCTTCTTTCCTCTTTCTTTATCGCGCTCTCATCTTTCCTCTTTTGGTCTCTCCTCTTGCACTGGACTGTGAGAGCGCCCCCGAGTGGCGTCTCCTTTTGCAGGATCCTGTCCAACATGCATGAAGATGCTACAGTGCCTATGAGAAACTCAATTCCTGATTTTTTCTGTGTGAAAGAGCGTGAATGGATCTGTATGCAAGTGCGCGTGTGAATATAAAATGCTTGTTGGCTGTTTGGCAATGCTAAAGCGCATGCTTCATCAAATGCTAACGCTAGGAAGTTTAGAAAGCTTATTCTGCATCTTATCATTTCTGCGCATTTTGCATTTCATGAGTCAAATACAGTGCATTACAGTGCAATGTGTAAAAGAGAAGGACGATAGTACTGGACAGTTAGAGGAGGGCCTTGTCTGTCTGGAGTCTGTTCTGTTCTCGCTTCCTGAAGTAGAAGCCTTCACTTTGTTTCATGTTCTTAATAGATTCTATTCTTTATTGTCTGTGTGTATGTATGCGTGTGTGTGTGTGCGTGTGTGTGTATGCGTGTGTGTGTGTGTGAATGTTTGTGTAAGTTAAGACTGCATAGCAGTGGCAAAGGGACATATGACTTTGTATAAGGTTACAGTGAAGTTACTGCTTCATCATCGTCAGATGTTCAGAATGTTGTCATCATCATCATCATCAATGTCAGAGGTCACAGCTGAGACATCATCAGAAGGAGAGAGACTGACCGTTTACTGTTGGGGCCTGCAGGGTCTGACTGAGACCAAGGATGCTCAGAACATGCCTCCATTTCAGGATGCCTGCAAGTGATCTTTAACTGAAATAATAATAATAATAATAATCATAATCATAATAATAATCATAATAATAATAATACATTTGTACATGTCAAAATATTAATGCCAATAAACTACCCCTATAGAAGACATACGGCCTTACAGCTGTTATATGTAAATTTTTTCTTGCATTAGTGCTGGGTAGTATTGATAAAACTGTTGTGACATTTTCCAAAAATGTTATGGTATCAGATGATATTTAATTTTCATTAATAAAATTAATGACCCTATGCTTCCTGAGCACTTGTAATGTCTTAGCTTATTTTGTTCTATTTTTCTCTCTTAAAACATTATCTCTTATTTTTCTCTTTTTACACAAAATGGAACAGCACTGTAACCACAAACTAATCCAAATGTTAAGAAGAGCCATTTTGTCCTTACAACAAAAATCAAACCACCTTGGGAGCCACAACATTTTATGTCCATTTTAACATCTTGACGGTAAAGTATGTGCTAATGTGCTAGTATAGGCTAAAAAAAATAAAATAAATGAAAACACAGACTTACTTTGCTCTGCTTTAAGCTTTAGTTCAGCTATAGTTGCTTTTCTTGCATCTCCAGCAGGAAACTTTTCCACAAAAGTGAGAACAGTTTCTTGTAAAATGTTTCTTAACGTTTGATTTTTTACGAGACTGAAGTCGCTTCTCATTCGCCAGCTTCTTGTTCGAATTTTCTTGCAGCACCATTAAAGGTGGATCTGGAAAAATCGAGCGAGAAGCTGACTATCTTCACAACTTCTTAGTGTTTGTCAGTTTCTTGTTGCAGATTGAACGTATCAGGAAACCAGCAGTCTGTGCGCCAACCTTCAGGGTTAAAAGGGTGAATCAGCAGTTCTACATTAACTCCAGAGTTTAAGACCGTTTATTGTTAAACTGTGTTGAACGATCAGCAGAGCTTTATTTTACTGTAAAGGAGGATTCTTTTATTTTTACCTACAGATCTAATTTGCATGTGGCTCTGAAGCCACGTTACCGCCCCATGAACTAGACCCTAACCGCATGTTTAGTATTTTGAGCTTAATACTATTTTAATAAGTTGTGCTACTTTAATACAATGACCCAAGTAGAAAAAAAATTTAAAAAATATGCGTTATATCATCTGTTTTGCTAAAATATTTTTCATGATGTCAGTATCAGGTTACACCAGTATATATGATATATTGCCCAGCACTACTGTATTATTGGGTATTTGTACAGTATAAATTATGATTATATATATATAGATATGAGATTTGTCATCTCATTACATGTTATGATTGTTGTAGACACTTCATCATCACTGATATAAAGTGTAATGGAGTTGGCTTGTCAGTGAGCTGTCAACACTGTTGCATTCAGATGACAAAATATTAGCATCTCCAGTCCAAGAATTTGGAAGGTCTGATTTAAATTCGTATAGAAGACATTAAAAACAAGTCTGGACCTGCACATCCATCTACAGTACATGATGAATTTAGTGCATGCCTGTTTGGTAACGATTTAGGTTGTACTTGTCAGATGTTTAGAATGTTGTTTTTTGTTGCCTAAGCAAATAAAGTCCTGCTGTTCTGTGCTGTTGCAGTGTTTATGCCCCGTTTGTCACATCAGTTCCCCGAGTCTTTTATGTAGTTCAGCCGGTTGAAATAAGGTTGTGTGGTAGTCCTGTGTGTTATATAATCCCCCATATGTTGTCTGAATATGCTTGACGTGATAGAGCCAGTTTGCTACAGTCATTATGAGCAGAAAAGGGGAGGTTGATGTTTTCTTTGTTTTTGTTTTTGTTTCTGTTTTTTTTTCTTTTTCAATGTTGTGTAATGGGGTCGTCTAACTTTTTGGTGAACGTGCTGTTGATGAGATTCCTGTACGTTGATAAATGTTGTGATGTTACTGACTGTCCGTTGGTGATGCTACGTTAGAGCTTGTGATAAGCTGTCTGTTTAAGAGTTATGCCAACATTGTGAATGTGTTAAAAGGTTTTAGCGGTGTGCTAAGCTAACGTTGTGTGTGTGTGTATGTGTGCGTGTGCGAGTGTGAGTGATTAATGCAGCTCTTTAATTTTAAAGCCCACGGAGGCTCCACAGGTGGATGAGTCGGGGGTAAGATACTCTGCCCCCTACTGGGCCTCGACTATAATTACAGTTTACATTCTTTTATCAGGTTTCCGTTGAAATTCTGTCCTGACTCAACTCAATTTTTACAGTGTAACCTCTGGTATTTCCACCCCTTTTAAGACTTCTGTTTTGTCCTCATACTTTTGCTTTTGGCTTTGGTTCAGTTTACTTTGATTTTTTTTTTTTTATTCTTGGGTTTGCTTTCATGTTTAAGATTTCTTGCTGTTCCTTCGTTCATCGTTTCAACTGTTCTTTGTTGTTTAACGAGCGAAAGTGTCACCCAAACGTGGCGGCGAGTGTGCGGGTGTGTGTCTGTGTGGGGTCGCTGGCCCCTCACGTTTGTAGCGCTGACACTGCTGCATGACGCGGGCCCCATGGGGTCAGGTCGGGTAAGGTGGTGACCTCAGGTTAACCTTGGGGTTGACCCATGGGGTTTGGGGCGCCCCGTAAGGTCGCATGCAGTGACTCTAGGTTAAGAGAGCCATGCTTGTGCCAATGTGTGCAGTTAAGTATGGCCAGGTTTCTTTAATCCAGCATGCCCCTACCTCCTACTTCCTCCTCCTGTTTAAGGACTGCCTCTTACGCTGCAGGTGCCTGGCAGTGCTGCGTTTCTGGACAGTTTTGGCCACTGCGTAACATCATAGCCATTATTTATACTCAGTTTAGCATTTAACTTTCATGGCATGAACAAATAGTGCTTTGAATTGACCTGGTTTGATATTACATTACATTAACGCAATTGCTGTCTTTACCTTCACATCTTTTGACTACAACTGTGTTGTTATATAGTTAAAACATGTGCAACCAACATGTTTACTCAAGTCAGGTCAATTCTGTTTATGTAGCACATTAGAAGCCAAGTGCTGGCCAAAGTGCTGCACAATAAAACAAGTAAATATAAAGCACCAATTTATTCAGTACTATCAGGATCAGCCAAAATGCTGCTGTAGCTGTAGAAACCTATGTAGAACTTATGGCACTTAGTACATCTTTTTTGTGAGCATTCCTAACACAATAATCCAAAACAAGATGACACTCTGATGAGACTCCAGTGTGCCCTCTGCTGGCCAGATGGCTGAAGCACAGCCAGGCACTTTGTGTTTCTCTCTCTGTCTCTCTTTCTCCTGATTGGTGCACTGACTCTGGTCCCTCCCCCTGCAGAACACAGAGGACAGCGCCCGCATCTCCATCACGTTCTTCAGGCTGTTCCGAGTGATGCGATTGGTCAAGTTACTCAGCAGGGGGGAGGGCATTCGTACCCTCCTGTGGACCTTCATCAAGTCCTTCCAGGTCAGAAATCTGAGTCCTCAATACCACCAACATCAAAATATTTCACAGACACAAAGGGTATCAGACAGTATGCCTTTAATAGTAAATAAACTATATGTACTTTATATTTACAGTAGTGTAGATGTAGGTGTAATATGTAACTGCAAATAATATGCAAAGATTCTGTTTAGGATGAAGTAAGGGATATGTATATATATATATATATATATATATATATATATAATATAAATATATATATATATATATATAGTAGACAGATAGTGTCACATCTGCTGCTGACAACGCCCCTCCTAGCCAGCAGAGGTCTCTATCGCCTCAATACTGGTTCAGATCATGCACCTGATTGTAATCAGAAGCCATTTTGTTTAGCATTTACACTCTTTTTTTCAGTTACGCATTGCAAAGTTTTGTTGTTTTTTTCCTCTTGCAATTCTGAGCTGTTTTTTTTTTTCTTGGAGTCTGTATTTCGGTATATCACCTCGGTTTCTGTCTAGTGTTTTGGGACTGTCTGCTGCTTTGATATGGTTGGCCTTCCCTGGCTTTTTTATGCTTTTATACGTATAAACATACATTACATTCATATGTACATATGTTGTATACTTACATATTTTATTAATCCCAAAGGAAATTGCAGATGATGTCATGTTAAACTATAATAAACATCCTGAAACAGCACCACATGCTTTAAAAACAACAAACAGTCTTCAGCCGCCCCAAACGATCTAAAACTAAAACATAATGAAATATTTACAAACCAGTGTAAACATTATTATTGATTATTGCTTTACATTACTAAACATACTATACTATTACTGTTGTACTCACAGAGATTTACCTACAAGTGTGGAACATCACTGAAAATTCATCCCTGATGTTTTAGTATTGAATGGTGTGTTTTAAACTATACTTATGTGTGTTTCTGTTCATGCCAGGCTTTGCCATATGTCGCATTGCTGATCGCCATGCTGTTCTTCATCTATGCTGTCATTGGCATGCAGGTGAGCTTTAGCAGCTGACAGAAACGTGTATCTACTAAAAAGTGTAATAAATGCGTTCTCACACTGTCTCTACTAAACCCTTTACACCCCAGTCACATGTCTATAAAGACCAGTAGACTCATACGCCAAGCTAAAAGAAAAGACAGTAGATCTAAAATTAAACTGAGAACTGTTGACGTTTACAGGATTTTATGTAAATAATAATAGAAATAGATCATGTTAGTAAGTGACTGTGGAATTCCTTTTCCATTTTCAGGTTGAAGCTTTACAGTTGTCCTAATGGGTCATGTGTGTGTTTCAGATATTCGGAAAGATTGCCATGGTGGACGGCACACAGATCAACAGGAACAACAACTTCCAGACTTTTCCACAGGCTGTTCTGCTGCTCTTCAGGTTAGAACAGCTTTTTCATTTCCTGTTTTCATATATCTTGCCGTAGTTTGAAGTGCATTTTGGGTTGAGATTAAATTGGGTTCACTACTCGACTTTTAAAGTCTTAACAGATTATAAAAAGACTGGGCGTCTCACACTGTCTGACAGGTTTCTGCAGATGTTTTGTGCAACAGAAATATTGGGGATCACACACTAAACGATTAGGGATCACACACTACTCAACTTTTAAGGTGCTGCTGAACCGAACGGAGCTCACGGAACTCGTGCAAACTCTCGCAAACTCTTGCGTCCTTACAAGTTGACGCAAATAAACAAACATGGAGCTGCTGCTGCAGTTTTCTCTGCCGTTTGCACTGACACAGTAAAGAAGCAGCAGGTAAACATGTTTAAGTGAGGATCATGGATTTACTTTTAAACTCAACTCATTTAAACTCAACTCATTAAAAAGCTTCGCTCCACATGTGAGAGACTTTTTGCCATTTTTCTTTATTTACTTGCTGTATTTTCTTCTTTCATGCTCTCAGTTTTCATTGGCTGTTGCAGGAGTCTGTTCAGATTGAGACGTTGATGAGTTTACACTAGATTACGCTTAGAGTCGGTAAACTGTTTGATAAACTCTGACTGGTTTAAAATGCGATGGGGAGGCCAAGAATCTGGGTCTGTGCCCCTCACACACGACTCGACTCTCTCTCCAACTGTCGAGTCCAACTGACCCAAAAATCTGCAGACTAGAGCCGACCAGCTCAGACTCGGCCAGACGGAGAATCTGGGCTAAAATTGGGGTAAAAGTCGTGTAGTGTAACCCTGGCTTAACAAGACCCACTTGAAAATGTCTGAAAAAGTGTTTTTATGCATTGTCAAAAAAATTACCAATGTTCTACCACAGACATACACAACTAAATGAATTAGACATATAGCCTAACTGAAGGAATCTGGAGGAGAATGTTCTTCTGATTACGCATCTGTTTTGCGTGCATGTTCGTGTGGTGTGTTTAGATGCGCCACTGGTGAAGCATGGCAGGAGATCATGTTAGCATGTATGCCGGGTAAGCGTTGTGACCCGGAGTCAGACTACAGCCCCGGAGAGGAGATGACCTGTGGCAGCAGCTTCGCCATCGTCTACTTCATCACATTTTACATGCTCTGTGCATTCCTGGTACGTACACACAGCTTCGTCACTGTTCCTGCGATCTGTCACTCTCCACAGCTTAGTTCCAGCCTTAATCCCAGAGTCAAAGACACTTGACTATTATAATCACTGTACAATAATCACACACAAGATGTATGAACATTATCTAAGCCCTGAGTGGGTGTTGTAGAGCCATTTAATCAGTTCAAATTAAATCTGAATATGTGCAAGATTGCAACCTAAAGGCCTTTACACACAGGGCCTCATCTGTTTATATATGTATAACTGTGTAACACATAAATAACTGGTTATTTTGTACGCCAAACTAAATTTTCGGATGTTGAAAAGGCAACACGATTGTATTCGCTCGCTTCCAATCTTCCAAAGTCCCTTGACCAATCACTGTTGTCCTGGGCATTTGCATAACAACAACAAAGATGTCTCATCAGTTGTGTCTCAGCAACTGTAACTTTTTGACAAACATCAGGAGGATTTATTTATCTTCTGATTCATCATGTGTGGCGCTGCATCTCCAAAAGCAGCTCAAACCAAGTGATGAACATTTGAGCTCAAAACATTTTTCTAAAGGGAAAGTAGCTTACCTAATGTCACTGTTTGCCTGTTTTGTGAGGGCATTGGATATTTTTGTGACTTTTGTGAGTGTTTTTATTTCAGTGTGAACGTGCTGACATTATAACAAAATTTTGTTGCGTCCGATGTGTATAAATCTGATGCAAAAAAAGCTTCTAAATGTTTTGCGTTTTAGTGTTGTTATTTGCGTTTACTCTGCAAGGCTGTGCATTATCTGTTCTCACTGATTTATCTTTTAAAGCTGCACTCACACGCACTCTTTGTTTCTCTCTCTCTCTCTCTCTCTCTCTCTCTCTCTCTCTCATGCTATTCAGATCATTAACTTGTTTGTGGCTGTCATCATGGACAACTTTGACTATCTTACCCGTGATTGGTCCATTTTGGGCCCACATCATCTTGATGAGTTTAAGAGGATATGGTCTGAATACGATCCAGAGGCCAAGTGAGTACTGTGTGTGTGTGTGTGTGTGTGTGTGTGTGTGTGTGTGTGTGCGCCTGCACCTGCACCTGCATGCATACAAATGTTTGTAAGTGTGTGTAAACAAGTCTTCATATGAGTGTAAACATGTACACACCTACATACCTATGGAGTTGCCCCGCCCTTTGTGGCTATAACAGCCTCCCCCCTTTTTTACTTTCCATAAGATTTTGGAGTGTGTCTGTGGGAATTTGTTGCTTTTCAGTCAAAAGAGCATTTGTGAGGTCAGGCACTGAGGTTGGACGAGAAGGTCTGGCTCACAATCAACGTTCCAGTTCATGTCATAGGTGTTCAGTGGGGTTGAGGTCAGGGCTCAGTGCAGGCCACTGGAGTTCCTCCACACCAGACTCATCAAACCCTGAAAAACAGCCCCAGCTCATTATCTCCTCCTCCAAACGTTACTGTTGCCAGTGCAATCCGTTGGGTTTTGTTCTCTTGGCATCTGCCAAACCCAGATTCATCCATCAGACTCGCAGATAGGATAATTCATCGATTCAGAGGACACATTTCCACTGTTCTAGAGTCCAGTGGTGTCGTGCTTTACACCACTCCAGTCGACGCTTGGCATTGCGCATAGAATTCTTAGGCTTATGTGCAGATGCTCAGCCATGGATGCCCATTTCATGAAGCTCTCGATGCACAGCTCTTGTGCTGATGTTGCTTCCAGAGGCAGTTTGGAACTCTGTAGTGAACGATGCAACAGAGTATATGTGGTTTTTATGCACTACATTATTCAGCTCTGTGAATTTGCATGGTCTAGCATTTTGTGGCTCAGCTGTTATTGTTCTTCGACGCTTCCATTTCACAATAACAGCACCTACAGTTGACCAAGGCAGACATTTCACTGACTTGTGGCAAGGGTGGCGTTCTGTGCCACGTTTAAAGTCACTGAGCTCTTCAGTATGACTCCTTCTCCCATTCTACTCCCAGTGTTTGTCAATGGAGATTGCATGGCTGTGTGCTTAATTTTGTACTCTTGTTAGCAATGGATGTGGCTGAGGCAACTCAATAATTAGGATGGGTGTCCACATACTTTTGGCCATATCGTTTATGTATTGTTTTCTTTATTTAATATACAAATCTTTTTTTTGTAAAAAAAGATGTATGCATTTTTCTCTCGTTCTCTCTTTCAGGGGAAGAATAAAGCATTTAGATGTGGTGACTCTATTGCGGCGCATTCAGCCTCCTCTGGGCTTTGGAAAGTTGTGTCCACACAGAGTAGCATGCAAGGTTAGTACACATATTCAGACGAGCACAGTACTGTTTTATTGTGGTAATGCTGTCTATTCTTGTATCTGAGTTTAACCTCAGGAGCCCCAGTATTTCTTCAGTGTTTGTGAAGCCTATTTAATCTCCCCCTCTCTCAGCGGCTAGTGGCCATGAACATGCCTCTCAACAGTGACGGCACGGTCATGTTTAACGCTACTCTGTTTGCACTGGTGAGGACCGCCCTGAAGATCAAAACAGAGGGTGAGCCAACACACTCATACATACACAGACACAGTACTTACACACATTTAGACTCAAATTGATATTGACGTATACAGTACTGAGCAAAAGTCTTTACATTAATGCAGTAAAAGTAACAAGAATTTCTAAAAAATAAGTAGTATTGATATCTTGTGAGCTTGTTTGAAGAACACAGATTTGATTCTCGACATCCCCTTGATGCCCCAGCCGTTGATAGATTTGTTCAAACCCTTCAGCAACACGCCTGATTTTACTTAAGAAAGCATTGATTTGCCAGACCAGTCTGCATGAGGAGAGATTTGGAAATACTTAAACACATTTACATATATGAAATCACTACTTATTGTAATGTTATTATTTGTATTTATTCTAATATTAGTGATGTTTTGAGCGAATAAACACAGGTCTACTGCTTTTCAAATATAATTTACTCAGGTGCACAGATGTTTAAGCTTATACACGTGCATAAAAACCTTTAAAATATAAGTATGTTTTTCTGTCACTGTGGGCATATTTGGTCTAACACTGAGAGTACACTTACCAGAAACAGCATACATAGTACATACTAGGGATGGCTATGGTTATTGATTTGTCTATGTTTTTTTTAGAAGTCTTATTCCTCTGTTTGCATCATGCACAGTAATACCCTCAAATTAAAATGTCTTCACATCATGGTCCATTACAGGTTAAATTTTTTTTTTCTTTTCCCTGTAACCCATTCATTCCTGTCTAAAAACTTTTAATTATTTATCTTCATTGATTATCTTTATTTATAAATCACACATGCCTAGAACACAAGGATAAATTACTGAAGTACATACATACATACATCATCTAAACCGCTTATCCTTCTGGCGTGTGGTGGGGTGCTGGAGCCTATGCCAGCTGTCATTGGGCAGAAGGCAGGATACACCCTGGACATTACTGAAGTTACTTATCAAAATATTAAAAGTCGTTTCGAGATTTTTGTTCAAAACAGCTCTGTGGATTGAGTTTGTACAGTGCAGTGTGTGCTAAACTGAACTTCTTATCAGTGTGTTCATTGGTAACCTCTTTCTGAGTGCACTTGCTTCTCATGTTACTTTGCCTGCATCACTGCATTGCGGGGCCTGTACTGGTGCTATGTGTCAGAAAGACATACACAAGTTGTTTTTAAGTACACTTTTTTTACACTGTTTAGTTCCTTTGTTGTTCAAAGTGTTCTGCCAGATTAAATCAACCTACCTATTATAGTGATATTTGAATACAAACGTTTAAAAACACAGATATTGAAATATCAAAAATGAAGAACATGGCCGTCCCTAGCACAAATGTGAACAGACACACACTAACATTAACCTCTCCACATGTCCTCACACAAAAACGCACACATACGTTGGTGTGATTGAGGTGCTGTGTTGTCTGTGCAGGTAACCTGGAACAGGCCAATGAGGAGCTACGGGCCGTCATTAAGAAAATCTGGAAAAGGACCAGTATGAAGCTGCTTGACCAAGTGGTGCCCCCTGCTGGCGGTCAGTCACATGAGCCTGTGCCCCATCAGACCATTTTACTCTCTCTCTCACACACACACACACACACACACATACAAACACACACACACACACACACGTACATTATGTCCTTACTTTACTCTAGCAGGTTGGAAACTTCCTGCATGTTACCTATTACCTTAATCAAAACCACATTTATAATTCTCACATTTATTGAAACATGGCACACTGCTTCTTTGCACCTTGCTAGCACCTTCTTAGCACAGCTTCTTAGCATACAAAGCACAACAACACATGCAGCACTGCAGAGAGCACACACTCGCTTCTACACAGACACAGTAGTGCTCACACACACCAGCAATGGCACTGCTCTGGGTTCTCCTGCTGTTTTCTGCTCTTGTTTTCCTGATTGAATCTCTGCAGCGTGTGTGTCTCCACGCTCTCTTCTCCTGCTTGGCTTTCTTGCTGCGTCTATTTCGGATCTTTGGTGGAGTGTGTATGTGTGTGTGTGTGTGTGTGTGTGTGTGTGTGTGTGTGCGCGCGTGTGTGTGTTAGGGATGGGTTTGAATCTTCCAATATTCATCACAATGTAAAAAATCTAATTGTAAATTTGAATTTCTGTATGCAAATTATATATATATTACTATAAACTTAAGTCTCCTGACTCTACCAGAGGTCAGTGTAAAAGTTGCGTCTTATGTTTTGGTCAGTCTTGTATTCTGTTTAGTCCAAAGAAGGAAGCATGGACAGACAGCTGGAACCGGCTAAACAAACCCTATGTGTTGTGCCTTTCCGGGTAGCATATGGTACAAAGCATAGCTATAGTACATAGGAAGTGTTTCGGAAAAACGGCCATAAACAACAAGGTCAAGCTCATTTTACACTCCACTTGTATAGATTTAATGGAATAAAACTTTCAACGTCATTTATCAGATTTGGTACCGGGTAACTGTTTTCCATCTGAACGATATGAGCTGAAATGTGGTGTGACTAGGTTAGTAATGTTAACTGGGGTCAAATCAGACGATTAGAGTTTGTCTGTTTATGTTAAGGACATCATGCTGGCTGTCCATCTCGGTGTAAATTTCAAGCCACACATCACGTACTATGGATTTGTGATCTGGCTCGGAGGTTTAATGTAGTACAGGAATAGTAAGATGCTGAGTGGTATCACTGTCTCTGGTGACGTCCACTCGTCAGGTCTGGTGTGCTGAAGCTTTTAGCCCTAAAAGATCTTTTCTGGGGAGGATTTGGACTATTTTTCAAATTTGAATATCAACTTTGCCTGAAACGACTATCCCTTGAGTGTGTGTGTGTGTGTGTGTGTGTGTGTGTGTGTGTGTGTGTGTGTTTGTTTATCTGTATGTATGAGTGTGCATATGTTTTGTGTGTGTTTATCTGTGCATATGAGTGTGTATGTGGTGTGTGTGTGTGTGTGTGTGTGTGTGTGTGTGTGTGTGTGTGTGTGTGTGTGTGTGTGTGTGTGTTGGGCTTTGGGCTTGCATGGCATATCAGGCATGCTACATTTTTCCTAGTAAACCAGCACACTCTCTCTCTCTCTCTCTCTCTCTCTCTCTCTGTCTATCTATCTATGTCACACTCTCCCTTTACTCTCTCTGTGCTTGAGCTTTTCCACAGCTTCTGTTCCTCGTTCACTTTTGTATCTGTCTATTTGAAAGCTCTTCAGAATATTCTGAAGCAATTCTGTTTTAGGGTGGTGGCATGGAACTAGTGTTGCCTCTTCTTTCCAAACTCTGTCCCCAACGTGCTTGTTTAAATAGTGACACAGACCCCTGCTTCAGAATGATTCTCTCTCACACACACGCACACACACACACACACACACACATGTAAGGGTGGGCGATATGGCAAAAAATATCTAAAAAAATATATCAAAACAATATTTGAAGACACTTTCATGATAACTGATATATTAGCAGTGTCACATTTTAGGACACAGTGTCATTGATGCAGAGCTCTGCTGTTATGAAGCATTAAAAGCTATTTCTTTGCTAATGGCGCCCCCTTTGTTCAATCTATAGCCTGTGCAACGTGAATGAGTCAGTAAATGAGTTACAAGCCAGTTCCCTGAGGTGCTTTGCATCTGAAAAATTATGTATACAGATATTTTTTTAGCTCCACATTTGCAAAAAGAAAATGCTTGGAAAAAACAATTAAAATGGTAATAATAGACTGCCAGCCAAAGAGCCAAAGGCTACTATGCAGGTTATGCAGTTGTTAACACTGGTATACTGCATCTGTCTTTTTTGTGATCCATGCAGTATACCAGTCATATACTCCGAAAAGCACACTGTACTACAATAAGTGTACTGTGTAATTAAGTGTATTAATTAAGCGTACTGCAATTTATCACAATAGCAATAATATATTGTTATATTACCCACCCGTACACACCCTGCACACAGAAATTGTGCCGCACACATCTTACAAACATTCATTTATACACATGACTACAAACCAGACATGCATAGTCAAACACATCTTGGACACCAATTTGTACATGAATGAAAACAAAGCATGTGTAGTTCCACACGCACACTTAATAGTGCCTTGTGCTTGCTTGCTTGTGCTGAGTAGAATACACAGTAGATGCTTGTACAGCACTTCTAGTCGGTTATAGTCAAGTTTGACCTTCTCAGCAATCTTATTCCTCTACATCACCTCTGCATCACAATAAAGAAGGAATCTAAAGCTTCAGCTGTTGCATCACCTGAAGCTAAAGTAACGACAGCTTGAGTACATTTAAGTAAGCGATTGACCTGCTCCGTATAAAAAATGTATGATGTAGCAACTGTTTGGACAGCTTTACAGAACGATGGCAAAAATCCACCTCTAATTAAAAGCTGTAGCCAGGAATGTCACGGGTATTACATAACTGCCAGTTATCTGAGATAATTGCAGTTATTTTCACTGACTGCAGTCAGTTTCCACATTAGATTTAACGTTAAGCTTAAGCCACAACAAACATAATGTGAACTGAGTTTGATAAGTTTAGGCAAATAATTTACGTAAAAGAAGACATTTGGTGCTCTAACGTGTTTAGAGGGTGGTGAAAGCTAGCTATGTAGCTAATTTGAATGTTTTTAGCATGAATGCTATCAGAATGAGATTTTTTTGGTTATGTTTTCACTCTAAACAAAAAATATTAAGCTTTGCTCAACTATACATGAGTCTATATAACCGAGATATTTGTATCAATGTGTTTGCGCACCCAACTGTGTAGTGTAGCAGTTCAACAGTACTGCAAGTGATACCTAGTAAACACAGCAAGGACCACCTTTGACTTGTACTTTAATGGATGCATATAATGTGAAAGAAAAAGAGAATTAAATTGTTAATCACAATTATTTAGATGACAAATAATCCTCAGGTAAAATTTCATCATCATGACAGCCCCAGCTGTAGCACAGCCTTGGTGAAAATACCGAAATTCAGAGTGTGTTATTCATTTTAAATGGTTTTTATTTTGTATGCATGTGAAAGATCAGACTGTAGATATTGATTAGGTAGATTTTTTTGTTAGCGTGGTCGTTTTTAAGCTGCCTAATTCCGAACAGCTACAAAACTCACAGTTTGCTCTGTAGCATATCATTTTAAACTGGAAACCTAATATTATGTAGCAACTCCAACCTAAATTTATTTAGGTTCAGTGGAATTTTTATCACTGAACTCTAAACTGTATCCCATTTCACAACAGTTGCTATGAAAGAATGCATTTTTGTGTGGAACTTGGATGAATCAGTTACTATCATTTTTCATTAACTCTTCAAGTGCCTGTTAAAAGAAAGCAGTCGACTATGAGAAACACATTTTAGCCATATTTCAGATCAACAGCAGGCGTTTTGCATCAGCAAAGGCTCAGAGGTGAAGGGTAGACGCAGCGTGTGTCTGCAGTGATGCTGTAGGACTGTGCGTTTGATGAAATGAAAGCTCTGGTGCCGTGGGAGTGTGTGTGCGAGTTTGTGTGGGTGAGGTAGCATGCTGACACAGGAGGCGCATGTCTGTGTGGTCTGTTCGTCCAGATGATGAGGTAACCGTGGGGAAGTTCTATGCCACCTTCCTGATACAGGACTACTTTAGGAAATTCAAGAAACGTAAAGAGGAGGGACTGGTCGGCGTGCATCCTGCACAGAACAACACTGCCATCGCACTCCAGGTGAGACGGGCGGCGGGTCTGAGCGTGTGCTGTGGTTTGCGTGTGTATGTGGGTTTAGGTTTGTAGTCAGTGTAAAGGTTTTACGCACCGGAATATTTGAGAACAGTTATTTTGCGTTACACACACAGACGCAATTTTTCATAATTGCGCTGTTATTCAAAAGGCTTGCGTTACAAAAACTGGGGAAAATGGGGAAAGTGATGATGTTGTGTCTGAGTGCCCTTCGTGTCACTATTCGAGAGATGATCAAGTACATTCTGTAAAAACAAGTGTGGACAGTGGAAAACTCTGGAAAGCAGCAATAGTGAGTTGGCTTTTTCTTGACATATGAATGATTTAGCTTAAATTATGATGCATCAGTGTAAAAGTGGTGATGATTTGAATGTATGTATATATGTATGTGTATATACATTTGGTTTGTAGTGTGTGTTTATTCACATTCACCTCCATAAGACTCCCTTCATGTCTTCATTATCTCCATACCCATGGCCAAAACGCCATGAGTATGTTCCTCAGTTTCTCTGCCCTGCTGTGTTTTTATATGTATGCTAAATGAACAGTGGGGACTGATTTAAAATCATCTCTCGTTTTTCTGTGCATTTTTTGTTTTACCAGGTTCCAGCTTAAAGTTTGTATTTAACTGTTAGCCTAGAACTCTGTTAGAATACAGTGCTAAACTAAGGCGTGTCTCTCTCGAGGTCTTAAACGTGCAACAGTGTAATCATTACCACTGGACTCAGCATGTCTGATGTGTTTATCCACAATTTGTTACACCAGAAAGTATTATTGCATATTGAACCACAGTCTGTTCTGGTTACTGTGCTCACAGAACGGTTAGCACTATTCCTTCTTCATTGAGCCAGTTGCATCTCCTACAGTGGAAACCTTTTTACCCCAGCTTTGCCAGCTTTTACCTGCAGTGAAAGCCTTTTTCTCCCCAGCCTGATTTATTAGATACAAATTGAACAACAGTTGGTTGACGGAGACCAAGCTTGCTGTTTAAAAGGAATATAAGAATAAGCATGTAGCAGATATTACAACTGGTATTAAAAAGCTCTTAAATAGTCTTAAATGTATCTTTTCTTAGTCTGTAAATAGTATGAATAAGTCTAAATGTCATGTGTATTAATGTTACTAGGCCTGGGCGATACGTAAAAAATTAATATAATTTCTTGTTAAAAAAAACAAGTATTGTATAAAACCTTTCATGAAGAATCACATATTCACTAATATGAGACTAAGGAACAAATTGTTTTTTGAAAAATATTCTAACTCTCATTTCGGAAGTTGTTACTGCAAACACGTGAATTTGTGGGATTATGGCAACTTTTGTGCCAATAGCGCACCCTGCTGGAGAAACTTCAGATTGCAGTACAGGCTCTATTTTAGTGAGTTTCAGAGCCATGTCCACGTGCTGTACATATTAAAAAAACTCAATGTTTACAGTTGTTACAGGTGAGACAGTCTGGATTTCAGCTGTAGGTATCTGCGAAAATCATTACATATTATATTTTTGAAATTTTGCAACTCACCTGATTCATCAGGACACTAGCTGTACGGAAAATGTTGAGAATGTTCCTCCGATGGTAGGGTGCACTTTGGGAAACAACAGAGATAGTGAAGGATTGATAGTAGTTAACATCTTATTAATCCACTGTGATAATCTGTTGTTTTAACAGTAAAGGGGATTAAAACATTATGTGCACATATTATTTCATTATGTTTAAAATGACATTGGTCTTCTCAGGTTCTCTATCAGTTCTCTTTCCCAGCACAGTGATCGTTGCCTTTGAAACATCGTCATTAGCCTACCTGCCAATTATCTTTGGTATCTGATTACACTGCCCTATTGCCCAGGCCTTAAGGTTACTTTATGTGCCGTTTATGCTTGTAAAACATTTTCATCTCACACACGCTGTCCTGTCTGGCACTGTCTTGTCGAGAGCCAGTTGTCCGTGTCGCTGTTACCTGTAAATAGAGTCTTATAACAGTCGTGTGTATTCTGTTGTGTGTGTCTTCGTTCAGTCCGTGTTGTGAAGATTCACAAAGCTTCTTTGAAAGCGCTGGTTCTTAGCTCTCCTGTGTTGTCATGGTTACAGGCTGGTCTCCGTACGCTGCATGATATTGGGCCCGAAATCCGCCGTGCCATATCATGTGATCTCCAGGATGAGGAGCTAGTAGACTTTATGCCTGAGGAAGACGAGGAGATTTATAGGGTAAAGGACTCACTTTTACAAGCTCCTTCTGCACAACTGGTCAATGTCACAAACTCTGACTCTTTAGTATTCATTAAAGTAAGGCAGGTTTGAAGTCATCCAGATGAAAAAATAGGACATTTCGCTGCTCTTGCTGGTTAATTTATTGTTGCTTGTAAAGCTTTAAGGGCATCGCTGGATTGTAGTGATAACCTTGCAGGAAAGAATATGAGAATAGTTGGGGAGAATAGTTGGGCTGGCTAATAGGAACTGGGTCTAGAGAAGAGTTTATACTGTTCTAACTGGGAGATTTTTAAATATGAGGTTAAAAAGTTAAGTCAGCTGTTGCTGAGCCAGTAACCAATCAACTCTGAGTGTAAGCATTTAATTTTTGCATCATATCTATTTTTGTTTATTCGACTTAGCTTAGAAAAGGCCTCAGGATATATCAGTTCATCAGATTCATTCATATCATGAACCATTTAACCTGCCTACCAACTTCTGTTCTACCCATTTTATTTTTTAAAAAAGACATCGGCTGACTAGTTGATAAATAGACCATAGTGTTAACCAAAACACTTATTCATTATCTCATGATCATGAATGTTTATTAACAGCGAAACGGCGGCCTTTTCGGCAATCATGTCAACCACATCAACGGAGACCATCGCCGAAGTTCTGGGCATCAGACTAATGCCACCCAGCGCCCCCTACAGGTCCATCCACCCCCACACTATGCCCACATGGAACAGCCCGTGGGCCGGCTGGGCCGTGCTAAAGCCATGGCGCACCATAACCATCATCACCACCACCATCATCATCACCACAATTCCTACGGCAAGTCTCCCAAGTCCACCAACATCAACCTCAACAATGCTAACGTGTCCAGCCTGCCCAACGGAGGTCACAGTCGCTACTACCAACACATACCTGCAAATGGATACCCAGGATCGTACTACCCCGGGGATTATGAAAAGCCTCGGACGCCGCATGGACAAAGGTGAACACACACTGCTAGACATTCTCTCTGATGTTGGTTTCTGTTTTAGGGCGCTTTCACATTTAGGGTGCATTTACTACCTTGGCACAGTTCATTTTAGCAGCTGGGAACACAGCTGTCACACTCCAGTGCAGATCGAAACAACCAGAGACGTGGTTTCTGGCCACTAGTCAGGAACTAGTGCATTTAAACTGTGCAGCGTGAAACCCGAATAGGCTAAAGAGAAAAAAAACAAGTGTCATTCTGAATCAGACAAGGCAAACGGACTAATAGGTTAGAAAGCGCCTCAATTCAGATTCTATTGTGTGATATGCTTTTCCACTAACTGCCAAAAACGTTATGAAATGTTGACTAGTTAGCATCACGTCCCAGATTGGTAGATGTCCTTCCATCAAAACGGGTTCATTTAGATGCCAATGCTAGCTGGTAATTCTGTAAAGCTTGTAGGATATTTCTGTTCATATGTGATTGATATTAATAGTAGTGTAAGATTGAACAAAGTGACTTTTAAACTCTTCACACATTTCACTCATTGTCCCTTATCATTGCCCCCATTATCATCATTTAAACAATTTCTTTTTGCATTCAGTTACTGTTTGTTAATTTATTAGATATGGTTTAGACACGGGGTCTCAAAGTCAAATTACCTGGAGGCCACTAGCCAGGTGGGCTTCTTCAAGGTGGGCCAGTTGATAAAGTGCAGGGGAAGAAGTGTCTCATAATTTTTTTTTTCTAAATTTTAACTACATGATATATTAAGGTGCATCTTAGTCAGTGATTATCAGCAATTCTGATGTCACCACAAACCACCACAACTACTAGATAGATAGGTAGATAGATACTGTATTGATCCTGAAGGAAATTTACTACGACGACTACCACTGCAAACTACTACTACTAATAATACTAATAATAATTTGTTATTACTGCTGTTCTTAGTAATAGCAATGTAAATACATAGTGTTTAATAACTATTGTAAGGTGTCAATTAAAACATGCAAATTTATATTTAACAGCAGAATTATATGGGACTCTTATTGTGACAGCATTGACATTCCTGCTGAACGCAAGTGTTAAGCGGTTAAATCCATTAGTTAGCAGATAATTTCATTTATTTCTTAATTCTCACAGCCTTTGTTGTCGTCGTCTGTGTTATGAATTAATTCACAAAAGCAGATTTAACTAACTATGGATCAGAAATAGAATAATAGCTTGATTAGTTGCAGCACTATATTTTTGCTTTTAACACTGTAATCATCGTCTTAGCCTTTTTTATGGCTAAGCGGTAAACACTGTGTCTGGTAGGTGAAGCAAATCTACCCTTCAAATATAAATATTCAGCAGCAAAGAAACAGACAAAAAATTTCTGTGAGCTAGATTTAAGGATAAAATTGAAAACCATGGTCATCTTTATAAAGACTGCTAAAGCAACAGTCATCATCTGTTCACTTTCCATTACTGCAATAATGACTGAAGTAATACATTTAAATGTAAAACACATCATATTTAAAATAACAAATGTGTGTAAGTGCATCCAGTAACCCCCTTCCAAGCTACAGTATTAAAATCATGAAGACACTGCATTTCTGCTGTTTTTAAGTTGAGGAAATATGACTGAGAATTCACAGTCTACTGCAGTCATATCAGTACATGTTTCACTCCTGTCGGGTCATGTTCCTCATGTACCACCACCGTCCTTCCACATATATAATAATACTGTGTATATTATATATGCCGTATGTTATGTATGCCATCCCATCCCTTCCCTTCCTTTCTGCTGTCTTCATCTTCCTCTCTCTCCTTCCTAACCGAAATGCTTTCTCTTAACCATCTCTGCTTTCTGGAGCAGAAGGCGCTACTATGAGACCTATATTAGGTACGTTCCACATTAGGTTGTGCTTTTTCCTGTAGCAGGTATGAACTGTGTTTACCACAACATACTATCTGTTGGACAGAAAGTGGACGTGTGGTTAGTGCAGGCAGGTGCAATCACCTTCCTTGTTTTTACTCCCAACATAGAGCTGTTGCAAAAGTTAAACCCATGACACAGAAATATATCTAAAGCTATTGGCCAGTGTGTCTTCAGGGAGCTCTGTGGTGTGACTGGGAGATGGAGGGAAGAGGGAAAACAGACTATGGCTTGTTGCATGTGCCTGCTGGATGAAGAAAATAACACTAATAAAACACGAGGCTTAAAGGATGACTCTTTTGGAAAGTTCTCACTTTCAAGACTTTGGTGAAGTTGGATTAACTATCATGTTTTTGAAATTTGCAGAGTTTCAAAAAATTAGTTGTCCTTTAAGTCAGCCTTATTGCAGATGTTGCAGATGCCCCTTATAAGACTAACTTGGACTTTAGTCTGCTTTGCCTGTGCACCACTGCCAAACAAAAGATGCTTAGACTCTGCAAAACCTGGGGAAACAAACAGAGAAGGTGTTTCATAACACTTCTGGGCAGAGAGTAAGACTAGTCCTAGATTAAAGGGCACATATCATAGAAAGACTAATTTTCTTTGCCTTTTTAGAGTTAAAGAGTTTGATGTACTATGTCAACATTTTTTCAATTTCAAAATGGGCTCTAGAGTCTGTACCAGGGGTCGGCAACCCAAATGTTAAGACGAGCCATTTTATTCTTTCAACAAAAATCAAACCACCTTGGGAGCCACAACATTTTATGTCCATTTTCACCATCTTGGCTATAAATATGTCAGTATGTGCTAATGTACTAATATAGGCTAAAAATATGAAATAAATGAAAACGCAGACTCACTTTGCTCTGCCTTAAGCTTCAGCTCAGCTATAGCCGCTTTTCTCGCATCTCCAGCAGGAAACTTTTCCACAAAAGTAGAACAGTTTCTTGTAAAATGTCTCTCAACGTTTGACTTTTTATGTAGCTGAAGTTGCTTCTCATTCACCAGCTTCTTGTTCCTGTTCCACCTTAAATGGTGCCTGAGGTACCAGAAAGTAACTGCTGTACCATTTAAGGTGGAACGGGAAAATTTGGAAAAGAAGCTGGTGAATGAGAAACTGACTTCAGCTTTGCAACTTTTTAGTGTTTCACAGTTTCTAGTTGCAAATTAAATGTATCAGGAAACCAGCTGGAGTGACTATAAATGCAAATAAGTCTCCAAATGATTGATGTTAGTCTTAAATCTTTCTTTTTGCCTTTTCGTTAGCTACTAGGTAGGCGAGATTGTCTCTGCATGCTGATCTTCAGGGTTAAAGGGTGAATCACCAGTTCTACATTAACTCCAGAGTTTAAGACCATTTATTGTTAAACTGTGTTGAACGATCAGCAAAGCTTTATTTTACTGTAAAGGAGGATTATTTTATTTTTACCTACAAATCTGATTCTGCTGTGGAGCCACAACAGGGCAGTAAAAGAGCCACATGTTGCTGACCCCTGAACTATATAGTCCATATATGAAAACTAAAATGCAAAGTGAGCTTGTTTTAAGTACCCTGTTTTTGTGATGTTACTAAAATAAAAGCATTTAGAGGGCAGCCAGTCAGAAAAGAGTTATTTTCCATGTATTAGTCTAAAAGACACAGTAACAAAATCAGTGTTTTAATTCTGTGGGATAAATAGAGCTTGAAAATGATCTTGTAAAAATTTATTATTATTACATCCACACAAATATCATAGGTGGATCGAAATAGAAAAAATGATAAAATACAAGAAAAATTTATGATATGGACCCTTTAAGAAGATTTTCAGTGGAAGATTGGAAGCCCATTGACAAAGTAATATAGTCTCAGACCAGGCTTTATCTCTGCTTGATAAAGACTGTTCAGGACACAATCCTAGCCTTCTATTTTTTTCCCGAACACAGACAGGTTTTCTGTATTAAGATTTAATGCTTGAACTGCTCGAGATAGACTAGCCCCAGGCTAGTGAGGGCACAAAGCTTGTGCTGCTTTTGTCTTGAATAAGCTGTGCTTGTGCCTGCATTTCTGCCCCCTGGAGATGTACGTCTGCATGGCAGTGCATGGTCATGTCACCCTGTATGCTGAGGCCTAGTTGACCCGTCACGTCTCCTCCTGACCCCCATGCAGGTCACACGGCAACGAAAGACGCTGCCCGACCATTCGCCGTGAGGAAGAGTACGAAGAAGACCGATACTCTGGAGAGTACTACAGTGGAGAGGAGTTTTATGAAGATGACAGCATGCTGTCAGGGGAAAGGTATCACCACGGCAACACCATGTGTACAGATTACAGGAGGAACATGCACTTTTTACTACATGACATGATTTCTGTTATGATTGGTCATGTAATATAGTCTTAGGCCCAATCCCATTTCTTAATTTTACCCCACCCCTTGTTTTTTGAGTGTCGCCCCTCTGAGTTAGAGGGGGTAGTGTTTCAAATGTTCCCTACGAAATTCCTCAAATGAAAAGAGCATTACTTCATTAACAGCTACCAGCGCTGCTCTGTAGGCGACCCTGCCAGTCTGCAGTGACAGCAGAGGAGGGAAAAGTTCAGCTCCTCACTGCTGGGCTTTAGTGAATCATATTCCCTAATCACCCCTCGCCCCTACCACTTAGCCCTAGCCCTCTGTTTCGCACGTTCACATCTAGGGGTAGGGTGTCCCGACTGCTGTTGAGATAGAGGGGTAGGGTGAAGTGTTAGGGCTACACGGTCCTCCAAACGGAGGTTTTTCAGAGACTCCAAACTGAGTATTATGAGAAAAAAAGAAAAACCAGCAAGATGGCTGAACAAGGGACCAAAGAAACCCACAAATGTCAGTATTTTCTCTGTTAAAAAATGAAGATAACCAATGTATTATCTTAGTTTAGTGTCATTTCAGTGTATTATGTCTTTTTCATCATAACAAGCATAAAAAATCGCTAATAGTATGCTGATGTCTCGGTAGCTAGTGCTATATTTTCCGTTCCACCTTAAATAGTCCAGCAGTTATAAGCCTGAGTTGCAAGAAAGTAACTGCTGCTCCATTTAAGGTGGAACAGGGAAATTCAAATGAGAAGCTGGTGAATATCTGACTTCAGCTTCATATCACTGAAGAATTAGTGGTGGGCGATAATAAATAATTGCCCCCCCCCCTCTTTGAAGGCATATGATTCCCTAAATGTGAAATGGGATTGGGCCTAATAATAATAATATTGTAAGGTCTTGTCTCCATGAACTAGTAGAAATGTAACAACATACAAATTTCATGATATAATTTTATATTTATTTGCACTATAATATGACGTGTTTTTGATGTGAAACTAACAAAGAGATGCTAGTGTTCTGTTTGATTTGGTCCTGTTGCGAAACCACAGTGACACAAGCTCCCGTGCCTGTAAAAGCATAATTAACACAAACATTTTGTAAGTTAGATTTAAATCCACACCAAGTGTAAGGAGGTAGCACAAAGTGTTTCATTTCGGTTTTTTTTCTTCTTTTGTAGTTTTGTCTTTCAGGTATTCCAGTTAATGTGTTTTGTGCGACATCTTAAATATTTTTCTAGCATAAAATCAAACTGTATTCAATGTATAGCATCCATACCATGTAAAGAAAAAGAGAATATGTAATAATAATATATAATATATATATTATAACACTCTTAATGACCATGTGATGTGATTAGAAAATTGTCTAACTTCTTTTGATGATCATACAAATCCTTCCTGTCCAGGTACCCCAACAGTGATCAGGAGTATGAGACGCCTCGTGGGTACCATCACCCCGACAGTTACTATGACGACGATGAGCAGCCCCTTTACCACGATTCACACAGGTCACCAAAGAGACGGCTGCTTCCCCCGACACCTCAAGGTGGGTCTCTGTACAGAAAGCTGTTGGAAAAAAGCGACAAGTCTGGATGACCTTTAATGATTGGATGGTCACCATCCACTCCATGTCTGACTGTCTGTCTCTCTTCTCCCTGACACCCAGGCCACCGGAGGCCCTCGTTTAACTTTGAGTGTCTGCGTAGACAGAGCAGTCAGGATGATCTTCCTCACCAGCGAACTGCTCTTCCGTTGCATCTTATGCAACATCAGGTAGGGGTGGGTGAATGAGCTTAGATTTGCATTACAGTGTTTTCCTTTACCTGGACAACATTGTCATGAAGATGTACTTCTGTTTTTTATGTTTTGGTTTTACCTGCTCACCCATCCTCATTTGTGTTTCACAGCTGTCCTCTCGGAATATTCCACAGTTTGCTGTAACGAAAGTGGCTCATTGTTCAGCGTTTGCTTTGTTTACTGCTCTGCACTGCAGCATAATGTAACATTAAATGCATTTTGTCCAGTAGAGCACAACAAAAGGCTGGAAAAAAGGAGGCTTTTGCCTTTTGTTGAGTTTATGATAATTTTTTCATGTTCTTTTTTAACTTGTATTGAGGTAGGGCTGTTTGTGGCTTAGCATTTTTGGAGAAATCCACATTGTGGGACATTTTTTGTCACACTGACATTAGATAACACTGCATTTGTTGTATTTAAGGCCGTACTACAGCTTCAGTTCTGAACCAGGTAATATTGCTCCACTGCTGCAGCTAATACAGAATAATACATTCAGTGTGATGTAACAAAGGAAAATTAGCCTTCCACAGGATTTGTACTGAATATAATGCCAAAGCAAAAAGTTCTGATTAGAAGCACATGATGATTTGTTGTTATAATGGCCGTTTGTTTCAGGTGATGGCAGTAGCAGGACTGGACTCGAGCAGAGCCCACAGACTCTCACCTACTCGCTCCACCCGCTCATGGGCTACCCCTCCGGCCACACCGGCCAGCAAAGACCGGACCCCCTACTACACACCCCTGATCCGAGTGGACCGCCCGCTCCGGGACAGCGCCAGCAGCAGCCGTTCCTCGGTGAGGAAAAGCTCATGGTACGACCCGGAATACCAGCAGAGCAGCTATTCGCCTGTGCATCTGCAGATTCCACCTGAGTACCGGAACCAGTACCACCAGAAGAGAGGCAGCGCCACCAGTCTGGTCGAAGCGGTGAGTCCAAGACCCAGTTTACTCCCAGTGCGAGTAAAAATGGAAGTAAAGACGGAAGTAAACAGCTACTTCCGTCTCTGATTCCTGTTCATGTGGCAAATCTGTGCTGAAAGGATGATTAAACTGTCCCCTGTGAGCAAAACAGTTTATAGTCTTGGCATTCATGAAACCACCTCAGACCATATCTGTAAACATTTGAGTGTCATATTCACATAATTTACTGGATCGATTGGAGCCCTATATGAAAAAAAAAATGATCCATTTTTCTATTTTAAAATTTTGTTTCATATTTTTTTGTTTCTTATTTGTTACCCCATTTCTCATTACCACAATGCAGCCACATATGTGTTTCGTATGTATGTATATAGATATTTTTTTAATTAGAAAAAATGTTATGCTTACTTTAAACGCTTTTTAAATCTCTTTATTTTCATGTTTTTCCTGTGGACTGTAAAATGTTATGTGACACAAGTAAAAATAAAAATCTTGTCTGTCAATGTGTTACAGGAGAGAGATAAAATTGTAAAATACTGTACTTTGTTAAATGTATACATTTTAATAAGTAGCTTTAAAGTCCTGTATAGATTCTGAAAAGTAAACTATTATTCACAGAAAAGTCTCACTGTGTTGTGGTAATGACAGTGTGGGCGCATAAATGAAAATGTTACTAAAATCAATGAATGAAATCCGTTAAATAGTTCAAGTTTATTTTAATTAAATAAATGTAATCATTCAGGTTTATTTTTAATTGTCCAACCAGGCATCATTGTTTGTATATCAAGAAAAGAAAACATTATGTTTTGGTCATTGCAGAATGTCACAAAATGTCACATAGCAAGTCACAAAAGTGTTATTTGACTCATCATTTGTTTTTTTTTTTGTGTGTCTGATGATGAGCAGGTTCTGATATCAGAAGGACTGGGTAGATACGCTAAGGACCCAAAGTTTGTGGCGGCCACGAAGCATGAGATCGCAGATGCCTGTGACATGACCATCGACGAGATGGAGAGCGCCGCAAGCCACCTGCTGAACGGCGGAGTCACGCCAGGGGTCAACGGGGTCAACGTTTATCCCATCCTAGGTCACAGAGACTACGACATGCAGGACGTTTCGGCCAGCTACAGCGACGAGGAGCCAGAACCGGAACCTCGGCCTCAGTACGAGGAGGACCTGGCGGACGAAATGATATGCATCACCACATTATAGCGTTCGGTTAGCGTCTGATGCTAACCGGCTCGCGTGTTCCTAAACAAAAACAAAATGCATCTATTGGCTCATAACCAAAAGAAGTGCCTTTACAGTGCAGTAGAAAGGCACCTGGAGTAAGGACACACTGGCCCCGCCCACTCGCTTCCTATTCGCCAAGGGGCCAGGGAGGAGTCACGTTGTCAGGTGACAGTGTTCCACTCTATCAGACTGCTGCTGATGATGATGATGCTTTGGAGATCGCCCCTGATTTGATGAAGCTGAACTAGCTGAGTGGCTGCCTGTGCTGTCACTGCAGGCCATGGACCAATGAGCAGTGACGTGAGGTATCCGGGGGGGGGGGGGGGTTTTTCCAAGGTGATGACAATCAGATCGAAGATGTCATTACCTCAAGTCACTTTATTAAGGGTTTTGCATATCAAGCACGTTTTCAATGCAAGCTAAGTAAGGCATATCTCCCTCTAGAGGCTTTAGTTCGTAATCAGCCCATACGTTCATTTAGTGAAGGATGATGAGAATTGCAAATCTTTTAGATAACGAACACCAATAAGACCACGCTGGTTTACGGTTAATATCATGACTTATTATGACTTACTACTGCATTATCAATCTGGAGATACTTTTTTCAAGACGATTGCAGCATTTGTTTTGAATGCACTAGCAGGCAGGTTATTTTTTAACTCTAGGACAGCCTGTTTGGGCTTTCATAATTACTATGCTGTAAATTAATTGTAATATAAAACAAAAAGAGAAAAAACTTTGTAAAGAGACGTTATATATTTTGTAATTATGTACCGTAGGAGAAAAGAAATCAGCAATATTGATCCTAATTGATGTTACGGTATTATGGAGATAAAAAAAAAGAATACGTGTGATTTTATTAGATACTGGACTCTATTATTTATTTGCCTTTTTTATTTGTTGCTCATATGCATTCTAAATTGGTCTGTGTAAGAACAGCCGTTTTTTTTTTCTGATGAGAGGTTATGTCTGTGACACACCCGCACAAGATATGCAAATCGTTTTTATGTTTTCTCTTTTTCTATGTGCGCGTGTGTACTGTGTGTGCGTGAGAGAGAGAGACTCAAATGTAATGGCATCATTACCCATACTTTCCCTGAAATCCCCAGCATGCTGTATGGATTAGGACGTATGGTCTTCGCTGCTGGACACTCTGGTGGGGCTTGTGGAGCTGTCTTGCGTGTTTTTGTGTTACTGTGTACTGTAGTGGGTCCGATCAAGGAGTTTTGGCCATCAGAAGGTTCTCTCCCGGTGTGTCGTTGTGTATTTTTGTGCAGAGGAGGTGCACAGGAGGAGGGTTCAATGTTAAATGCTTCATGCATTGACAATGCTGCTTAAATAGTGTATTTTGAAACTGCCAGATGCAAGCTGTCTGACTGAGAAGCCTGCAGACGCTGGCGAGTGCTGATCCGCGATCAGCTCCACCATCCCAGTGCTTAACCTCAGCCGCTGTCATGAAGAACACAAAGCTGCTCTCAGATCAGTGGGTAACTCATCCCAACATTGTCGGGGTCATTTTCCCTTTAGTGGTATCGTAGTTTACGCTGGAGAAAAGCGATGCATTAAATTCACTCAGTTCGAATATGTACATCATTTCCACACAAGCTAAATAAATCGGTACCTCCAAAATGGCAGCTTTATACTGTACTGTGCAAAAGTCCACCTTATATGTATTTTATTTACAATCAAAGTGGCCACTAAGTTATACGAAAACTTCAATTAAGTCATTATTTTAGTATTCAGTTTGCTTTTATTCCAGCTTCCGTTCTTTTCAGGAGACTCGCTTTCAGTTCCTCAAAGAATCTGCAGACACACCTCCAAAGTTCAGTCTTAGAAGCTGGTTGATCATTTTCTGAAGTAATCAAACACATTCAGTGGTGTTGAGGTCTGGACTCTGGGGTGGTCAGTCCATTGTTCAGCTTCTTTGTTTGATGTGTCCGTCTCCTTTTCTCAGTGAGGTTCTTCTTGAACAGCTACACATCCTTTCAGACCCACAGCGCTGAGTCGTCTTCTCACAGTGGAAGGATGGACAGAAACACCTGTGGATGTTTTCAGATCTGAAGCAGCTTGATTTTCTCCTCTCTCTCAGAGATGAAAGCTTTAAGTGCTGTTTATCTGATGGGGGCAGTTTTGGTGTTGACCAGGTCTTCCAGGTGGTTGTTAGGAGTCATATTTTCTCTGCAGCTTCTAATAATTTTTTTAACCTCATTTTTTTAACTTACTTTTCTGACATTTCTCTTCCTTATGCAAGTGGATTATCTTTTTGAGTGGGGATTAGATAAATAAAGGGTGGTCTCTGACGTTTGCACAGTACTGTAAAACAAGGGAAAGGTTCCTAACTTTAATGTAATTCAACAAGACTTTATTCCAAGTCATTTCGGTTCACTTTGGTTGCTCCGTTTGTCATAAAATGTTCACACAATGAAAAGAGAAGCTGGTGGTTTTAAATAATTAGAAAAAATTATGAGGTTGACAGTGACTGTATATTACAACACAGTCATTGCCAAAAATAAGTATAAAATTGTGTTAATGTGTTTTATTCGTGTGGAAATTTTGCACACATTTGAATCGGGTACATTCAGTGCATCGTTGTTTCCATGTTTTCATAGAGGCCACAATAAAGGTGTGACGATGGTGGCAGGTACCTTTTGGGGTGTTACGATACAGTCGGCATGCTGCATCTTAACAAGCAGGGCTAGAGAGTGGCTAAGCAATACTAACCCCTTTTCTCTTTCTCTCTATCTCTCTATATCTCTGCGTCTCTGGCTTCTGCTGAACCTCTGCCAGTGCAGGGGAAACATATCGGAGTTTGAACCATTATTTTTTCCCAAAAGTGTTTTAATTTTGATGTTTCAAATATGAGGCTTTCGCCCTCCCTCACGTTCAGAACAGAGGGACGATTTCACTTCCAACAGGCAAAAAGTTACGCATCACATCACCAAGAGAAAAAAAAAAACAGATTTTTAAAAAGCATGACTGCAGAGGCACTGCCTTGAAGCATTAAGCTTCAGCACAGACTAAACATAGGGGAAAAAGGGAACTTTAGGGATTTGTAGTTCTTGAGTGTGACTGATTTATTGATTTGTGAGTGAGTACTGTGCTTTCAGTCAACCGAACACTGTCATGAAAAAAAAATGTGGGTTTAACCACTGCGTGTGCACATCTGAAAGGGCTCTCTGAAATGTTTTGTGAGAAAATAGATATATATAGTGTTCTGGTCTTTATGTGAATATATCTTGTGAGAGGACCAATGCGCATTCTAGGCACATTGTACTATTCGTAGCAACTACTCGTAAGAAAAATAATATATGCATTATTTTTAAAAAAAATACTTTTCAAAAAATAAAACTAAAGATTAAACTGACTTACTTTTACCTCACGTCAGGGACTCCTGAAGGAAAAAAATAAAAAATATATATATAAATATATATATTTGGTTCATTCTATACCAATGGGATTTACATATTAGCACATGGCTGTTGGTCTTTGCACAAATGACTGTCCGTGCTTTTTGGTTTCTCCTGTTTTCTATTCAGAGTTTTGTGTATTAAGGTGAGCGGATTTTGTACTCTTTTCTGTGACTGTGCGTATGGTTTAGTGAAATATGTATTTGTCATTTAACATCTCACCTTTCAATGCTGGGACAACAAGAAAAAGGACAAAAGACAAAAAAAGGTGCACCTCTCTGTAATTAAACATGGTAACGGGTTTAAAAAATTCTTAAGGTAACATACAAGTTTACAAAGAAATGTCTGTTGATTTAAGCGTTTTCATCATTTTTCATTCTAGAATTATTAACTCTTACTTCTACTATTCTAATTATTCCTATTGTTATTAATGCTGTAAGGAAATATAAGATTACGATGTATATTATGTACAAATATAATGGAAAGATGCGTGATAATGTTCTCTACTTGAAAGTCCTGATTTTTGCTCTGTAATGGTTTTTATTCAGTAAAAATGATTTTCTCTTCGTAGCAGATGATTTATGAAAACCCTCTAGGTTTTGTATCAATGCATTTTTTGTATTTTTCCTATTTATTTTGGCCTGGACTTGATTTGAATCAATACTGAAGTTTTATTTTCTAATGATTATTACTGAATAAACTTCAAAATCACAAAAAAAAAATCTACCCACTCACTTTTAATAGAGCACACTAAGTGATGGATAAATGACAGAATTCAGGGAGGCTGGGATTAAGTTACGTGGATTGCACTGTCTGGAAATTGTGTGTGAAACTCTGAGGCAGCGTGTGAATCAGCACACGATGACTATGCATTGCAGATGCCTAAAGATTCTGTAGACTTTCCAGGATGCCGTCCTGAGCCATCAGCGTTACCCAGCGTGTCACAGAGGTGTTAAATCAACAAGGAACCAACCAAGAAAGACAATATGTCTTAAATGTGTAATAGCTGTTATCTCGTAATAGGTGAGTATTGTCATTGGCCAACATTTAAAGCTTTGTAGTGTGATCTGTTAATAAATATCCTCCTTATGTTTTTCAGAGTCAGGACACAAGTCTGGACCTCCTGCTTGAATGCATTAACACAGGTATTCAGCACTGTTCATGGAACAGTCATGTTATGTTATAATGATGTTATTTATTATTATTTCAACCTCAGATTCTTGTCTTTTCCTCATTTTCTGTGAAGAACATATAAAATAACCCATTTTCAGTGCTTCACTCTGTTCACCCCACACACATTTATATTACACGTGGTGTTGGGTGAACCTCTGGGGAGTAAAAGTGTGGAGGTGCTGTGTTCTTCACTCTGTTCTCCTCCTACATGGCCTGCTGTTAGTGTGTGTGTGTGTGTGTGAGGGTGGACAACATGGACAGGCTGCTGACTGGCTACAGCTGCTAAAGGAGAACCCTACGCTGGACACTTGTGATATTTTAAACATCTGGTATTTTTACATAAATTGTTGCGGCTGTATTGATTTAATAAAACAATAATGCGGTGGGTTCAGCAGACCACTGAGTTACAAACACATCAACACCACACAAGGGTTAAAAAAGGTGGTTCATTAAGGGTTAGTAAAGAAAATAGTTCTATATAGAACTATGAACACTTAAAGAACCCTTTGCATAATTAAAGGGTTCTTTGCATTGTGAAATTATTCTTCAAATGATGGAGAATGTGCTGTAGATGGTTCTATATAGCACCTTTTCGAAATGGGGCTCTATATAGCAATTATAAGAGTTCTTCCATTGTTACAAGCTTGACATCGTAACAGTCGAAAAACCCTTTTTGGTGCTATATAGAACCATCTACAGCACAATCTCCATCAATCTGAGGGAACTTTTTATGATGCCAGGAACCCTTAATCATGGGTTCTTTGAGTGATTTTTAAATAAATAAAAAAATATCTTTTAAAGTGTGTTGAATGAGTTTATCTCTGAATTCTTTTTTTTGGGGATCAAAAGTTTTTATTTGCCTTTTATCTTTCCCATCAAGACATTTCAGTACAAAACTATGTACACATCCAGGGCCTGCCCAAAAACAAACAAACAAATAAACAAAAATTCATATCAGACTTGATCTACCTTAGATGAGTAGAGAAAGTACAGGATAAATGATCCATACATTCCTAATAGCCTACAAACATTGAAGCACAGCATTCTCAGAAATGATCTTTGAATTCTGAAGATGACAATTGGAAAAAAAAAATCACATCTCTGAAAGACTTCTAGAAGACTGGAAGCCAGGAGATGCTGGAAAATGGTTGTGTTCTTTTTCATTTTAGACCAGACTGTTTGAAGTGGTTCATGTCTGTAGCTGCGATGCAGCGATCAGACTGGCTGTGCTCATTGATCACTCTGGAGTGATTTTGTTGTTCAGGGGGCTCACAGTGGTCTGAACCTCGGATGCCTCTTCTTCTGAAGGCAAGGGGTTTTTCCCGCAGAGCAGGAACGGTATGGCGTATTTCTGAAACTGAGAACAGAGAAAAGAGTCAAGTTTTTCTGGAATATTTTAGTACGTACTTGTGATACGTCTTACCATTTAGATTATATATGTTAAGAAGCAGGTTGATGCATGATATCCACCACCAGGTGGCACTGCTGTCAGTGTATATTGTTAAAACCATGCAGTGCAGCAGAAGTCATCCAGCTGATGGTGAGGAGTGGCAGTTGTGTGATAATATTGTAGTAGTTTAAGTCTTTTACTTAAGTGTCCTTTGATTTCCTTGTCTATTTAGTTTACCTGTCACCAAAAGTGACCAACCTTGAATGAAAGCCAGTGGGGAGCATTTAGGGTGATAGTTGAAATGAAATTGTAAAGAGGAGAATCATCACTCTGTAATGTCTTCCAGGTTTCTCAAACGCTAGAGGGCGCTCCTGAGCTAGTCCAAAATGAATGGGTTGATATGGAGCATCTGAGCAAAATCATAGTTTATAAATGCTGAAACATTTTTTAATGTAAAAGAATTCATTCATTTCACAACAGTATAAAACACTTTAACACTGCTGTTATATTTTTAAGAGCTTTTAAACTCGAGTTATAGGAGTTTAAAACGGCGCCTCATGTACGTCCATGACGTCAGTAAGCGTGAACAGCCAATGAGCTGCTCCGCTCGCCAACCAATCAGTCCTGCTGCCCAAAACCTGTTTGCTGTAGAAAAAAGGAAACATACAGGTGAGTTTTCTTTGCTTTTTTCGTGAAATCGATATTTTTACTTTCTAAAATGAAAGGAAAGTTCTGGACGAGTGATTAGAAACTATTTTAACTTTTTGTTTTTAGCCGTTTAGCTCCATTCACCCCCATTCTTTGACAACTCACTCACGGGCGCCCTCTGGCGTTATGCAGTCCTGTTTTTGATATAACGACGGAAATTGGAAGAGGCCAGACTCCTCATAAACCAGCGCTGATTGTTGCTTAATGTTAATGCTAACAGACATTTGTTGATGTCTATCCATGTTAATTATGTCTTAACTGGTCATTACTACCAGTGCTGAGTTGTAACCATGCCTACACTTAAGTTCTCATTAATTTAAAGCAGTTATTATTTTGTAGTAAAGCATATGGACTATAGACAATCATTCTTGTGCCCTCCTTATCGTTATTGTTATTTTTTCAGTATATAGTGTCTGTCTCACCTGTTTGTTCATGTAGATGTAGATCAAGGGGTTGTAGATGGTGCTGCTCTTGGCCATATAAATGGGCATGACTTTCACTAAAGGACTGAAGTTCATGTCAGGCTTGAAGACCACAGTGAGTGCCAGAGTGGCGTAGGGCATCCAGCTGACCAAGAACGCCACCACCATCATCATCACCATCCACGCTATCCGAGCTTCCGCCTTCGCTGCTGCTGCACCTCCTACTTTAGCCACCTAAAGAACAGGCAGAGGACAGGATACACAGGTGAGAATCACAGCTCCTACAGCACAAGAGGGAAGTTCAGCATGATTTCTCTGACTTTATGCTGTTGGACCATCATAACTATTCTAGATTTTTTTATTATTATTTTTGTTTGTTCCCCTGAAGTCCACTTGTAATGTCTGGGGGGTTTACATGTCAAAGAAAAGTCGTAACTCATTTTGACATGAGCTTTTTCAACCTTTGTTTATGTCCTAGAATTAAACAGGCTGTTTAAGACTGATATATTTAAATGACCTCTGTTCTGATTGGCTGTTGTGCCACATTCAAAAAGCACTCCAGGCTATAATGTAAGAAACTTCTAAGTTCAGATTGAAGTCCTCATAGACATGACAAAAAATAAAGTTCAGCTGCTCCTTTCGGATCTGTGGATCATTTGGAAGCTGCAATGATCTGTTTGTTTCCCATCAGCCAGGAACAGCATAGCGTTCAATCATTTCCCCCAAATCTTCCACTCGTAACTCTGCTGCAGACTGTCTGCAGTAACTACACACCATGTCACTTTAACAGGAATTATATTGCTGTTGTTGGAAGAAAACCTTGTATCTCCAAAACGATAACTTTACAGGAGAAGGAAAAAACAAACTTTACTTTTAATGTAGGTCAATGGAACCAGACTTTTTTCAAGTCATTTGGGGTCGTTTCTTTTGGTCCATTCATCATGAAATTTACAACAGGCATTTTCAAATTATATCAAAAACTGAAAAAGAGGTTTTCCTCCGACAGCAGCGACATGTAATGTGTTCATGGTTGTGACGTCACAAATACGATGGATTTCAAACAGGCTTATTTGGCAGCTTAGTTTCTGTGAATGACCTGTTTGGGCTCAACAGTACATTTTCAACCATACAACATCAGCCTCTTTAAAAAAAAGACAGTAAAATAAATTTTTCATATGCGCTTTAAGGTGCTGGTTCCCAGTCTTAGTCTCAGCATACTGTAGTACTGAATGGTGCTGAGAACACAGACTGGTATTTATTCCTGAGAAATCCTGCTTTGTGAAATTCCTCCAGACAACACAACTCAGGATGTTCTCTTAGATGAAGTGCCTCTCGAGCTGATCCAAGATCATCTCCTGCATCCCCAAATCCTTTACCTAATCACCATTAGAGAGGTGACATAACTGGTCCGAGCGTTATTTAAAGCACTCTACTGATTTTGTTGTTCAGTTTCTGTCTAAAATATTTAAAGTAGCTCAATAAAGAAGACGTGTATTGTAATCATTACATGTATATATATCGCTGTTGTTGGAACAACCTGTCCAGGGTGTATCCTACCTTCTGCCCAGTAACAGCTGGGATAGGCTCCAGGACCTCACCGCGACCCAGAAGGATAAGCGGTTTAGATGATGTGTGTGTGTGTGTGTGTGTTTGTGTGTGTGTGTGTTGTTGGAACAAAACCTTGTATCTCCAAAATAGTAACTTTACAGGAGAAGGAAAAAACCTCCTTTTACTGCAAGTCAATGGAACCAGAGGGTCCTAATATCTCCATATATATATATATATATATATATATATATATATATATATATATATTTGGTATATTTAAGTACTACAAGGGGGCTACGCACCTAAGATTTTCACCTTCACACTTGTGTAAATGTGATATGACAATAAACGTGATTTGATTTGATGTTATATTGGTCTAAAGTACCTGTTTGATTTAATTTTCATATGTTAATCCTAAATCTAATTTTCAAGAATCAAAATTTTCTGTTTTGTTAATAGTGATACCAACAACTGTGATAAATGATAAAAATGTACTTTTTTTAGCCATACAGTCTGATTGATTTGAAAAGGTTTTTCAGATTTATGCTTAGACAAGTTCAGACAACATATGGGCCGACGTAATTTAAAAATCTTTGGAGATTATTGTTATTAATAGATTAAACATGTACACAGTACAATAGCTATGCACAGCCTAGTCTGTCTCCCCCCTTACAGAGCGAAGGTTATCTCAGGTGTTGGTGAATAAGCCTCTTACTCGTCTCAGCGTCCACAGCAGCCACGAGTACGACACCACGATGATGATGAACGGTATGGCGAAGCACAGCACGAAGTAGCAAACGACATAGGAGAGGTTTTTAGGATCTCGGCTCTGCCAGTCCGGCCCACAGGACGTCCCGACGCCCTCCAGCTCGTAGTTTCCCCAGCCGAAGAGCGGAGGGGTGTTCCAGAGGAGTGACCACAGCCAGGATGCCGCCACCCCGGCCACAGCGTGCTTCTCCTGGAAGATGATGGTGCCCAGTGGCTTACACACCACAAACACTCGCTCCACAGCAATCAGAGCCACAGTGCACAGCGCTGTGATACCTGCACACACAGAACCACGTGGAGTTACGGTACAGGACGCTAATAGGCTGCCCAAAGTCGGCCTATGAGTATACTTGACTTGGCTGGCCAGAGAGTTACTCCAGCCCCACCCCCCTCACCCAAGGAGAAAAGAAACCTACATATTAGTTTCATAGTAAATGCTGAATAATTTATAGTAGATACTAAATAATCTGTTGTCTCTGTAAAGTGATCCAACTGATGCCATTGTGATCTCTGATGTTTGATCTGACATGTTCCCTCTGTTTATTCTCTAAAAGGAAACCTTTTATAAAAAAAAACCAAAAAGGTGGTCTTTTTTAGATGAAATAAACCCTAAACAGATTCTCAGTAACAGCAGCAACATTTCAGTAATGTAGCAGCAGTGAACACATTCAGATCATCAAGAGACTTTTAATTAACTATGTAAATAAACTGTGTTAATAATCTGCTGAATTCAGTGGTTTTTCACTTTATTTGGAGGATCAGAATTCATTTCTGTAGATGTTGAGAGTCACTGAACATTAACAGGTTTAATACAGACCATCAACATCCTGAACAAGCTGATACAGACACACTGACACCATCCTGAACCTGGAGCTTCACTGTAGGGTTTGGTGAAGGTTAGGATTAGGGCCAGGGTGAGGGTTAGGATTAGGTTCTGGGTTGAGGTTAGGGTTAGGGATAGGAACATCATTGAACAGCTGAGCGCGCTCAAAGGAAAACGCTAACCGCCAGTTCTGTTACATCGCCTAACAGACGCCTGTGCTGGCGAGCATCGCGCTGGGTGAGAGGTTGACCCTGATGACAGGTCCGACGCTTAGTCGGTCGCGCCAGTTCAGTCACCTTGACTGACTAATAAAATAGAATAAAACCACGTAGAAACTAACGGTCTGTTACGTGTTTCACAGTTTTCCACATTTTAGAACAATAATGAAGACACAAACTATAAAATAACACGTATGGGTTCATACACAGACTGCAAATGTGTTTATTTGAAATTGTTTAGAAAGTAGCCCCTCTTTGCCTTGATGCAGCTTTACTCATTGTTGATCATTCTCTCAAGCAGCTTCATGAGGAGCCGCCTGAGATGTTTTTCTAGAAAGACTCAACAACATTGTGTGAAATCATGTATTGGGGCATTCAAATAATAGGCTTTTTTTCATTTATTTTGATTTTACATTTTTGTTTTGAATAATTATGTATATATATGCTGAATCACTGAGATGTAAACAAAGTCATTCGGAGTGGTTGGATGTGAAATGGCCTGTTCTGTCAGTATTGTTCACAGAGGTGACAGGAACCAGTCTAAAGAGTTCAGTGTCACTGAAACCTCCCTCACCGAAAGTTATTACATGGAGTCAATGTGGATACGTTGCCTGATGCCTGAGACCTTGTTTGATAACAGTTCTGAGAAGGTTTTGACCTTAAACATACATTTTTAAAACCCATTCATGGTGGAGGGATACATGCAAGGTGCTGTGAGACAAAATAGTCCCAGAATATATATATTTTTTTTTTTTTCAGATTTTACACTTTTTCACCATCATCCTTACATATAAACTTAGAAGACTTGTGTAGGTTCACTGGTGGTTCTGGATAGTAAATAAAATGTCTATATTTGTGTTGTTGTCATGGCGACCCCTGGTTCCTATCACCATCACTGTGAAGACATCTGAACCATTTCACACCAAACCACTCTGAATCTCTCTGATTACATCTCAGCTACTGAATTTAATTAAGTTAGTGAATAATCAGTGAAATTCACCTGTGAATGTAATTGTGTAATTACATAATTAACTACCTTGTTAATTCTATAATTACATCCAGTTTACATTCTTACATTTGATATACGTTACTGTGCTTACAGTCTACACTTTTTTCTGTTTGTCAATGACAGAATCAATAGATTTTCATCAAATTAAATCTTCTCCAAACTCAAATATGGTAAGGATTCATATTTCTCCACTCGTTTCTGTGAGGTAATTCATCTGAAATGACAGAATGCTGTTGATAACTGCTGTCCTGTAGGGTTAAAGGCTGTGTGGACTGTGTAGATGACTGACCGAAAAAAGCCACGCAGAAGCCCTCCAGCACGCAGCCCACTCGTCCGCTGATGTAGTATCCCGCAGCATTGGTCACCACAGATGGCACTGCGCCGGTCAGCGTGGTGCCCAGGTCAGCCACGGCCAGGTTGACCAGGGCGAAGTTGAGCGGCTGGCGCAGCTGCCTGTGCCGCAGGGTCACCGCAATCACTGTGGCGTTCAGGACCACAGCTGCGACCGAGAACACGGCCATAATGACCGAGAGAGTGACCAGCCCTGCCCGCGGCAGCAGCACTTCTCTGCCGGTGCTGTGGAGTGAAGAAGCGTTGGGATGCTCTGGGACGTCCTGGACCGGCGCCATGACCCTGGAGGTCCTGCAGGTCACTCAGTGATGCGGAATGATGTAAACGCACACAAACTTCTCTCTCTCCTCTCTTAATGACCTGTTTTCTTCTTCTGGATCACACAGCCGGACCGAGTGGGTGTTTTTACCCTGCTTGAAAAAAAGAAAAACAACTAAAACAATAAAAGAAAAGAGACTGAAAGTCATAAATAAGTAATTAAAATAAATTATTTTCTCCTGTTAATCTGATTTCAGTTCAGACAGCGAAGTTAATTTTGTCACACTAACACCTGTTTTCTCTGAAACAGCCTGATCTTCCTCCCTCTCTCTCCTTCTCTCTCTCTCTCCCCCTCCTCTTTCTTCCTCCATCTGTCTCTCTCCTTCTCTCTGTCTCCCTCTCTCCCCCTCTCTCTTTCTCTCTCCCCTCCCTCTCCTTCTCTATCTCCCTGTCTCCTTCTCTCTCCCTCTCCCTCTCTCCCCCTCTCTCTCCCTCTCCCCTTTCTTTCTTTCTTTCTTTCTTTCTTTCTTTCTTTCTTTCTTTCTTTCTTTCTTTCTCCGTCTCTCCCTCCGTTTTGCTTTCTCTCTCTCTCTCACTTTTCTCTCTCTCTCTTGCTCTGTTGCTCTCTTTTGCTCTCTCTTTTTTTACTGTCTATCGCTCTCTTTCTTTCTATTCTTTACTCTCGCTCTCTCTCTCTCTCTCTCTCTCTCTCTCTCTCTCTCTCTCTCTCTCAGCTGAAGTGCTGAAGTCAATAAGGTAAGTAAGTCCCAGAGAGCCTGACTTAAGATCCAGTATAATTCCTTCAGACAGTCTCTGACCCGACGCCAGGCCGCTGTAAGACCCGAGAGGAAAAGCTTTTTGTTTTGGTTTCTTTTTGCTTCCCTATATGCGACACATTATTATTCCATAGAGTCTAAACGAGGGCAATTACGACAACATTCATTACTCAGTTCCATATGATACAGTAGTGTCTCGATTCAGTACGTTTCCCAATACAGAAGTAAAGAGTGGCTGAAAATGTGCCTGAATGTTTCCATTTTCGGTTGATTTGAGCATTTTGACCCTATAAATGTACAGAATAATAACGTGCTAGCCAAGAGTTAATGTTGGCTTGTAAGGGGTGGGCTTCTCCTCCCTGCTCTTCATTTACAGGTAAAGAGGAAGCAGCATTTTCAGGGTCTGCGCTCGCTGTGCCTGTTTAATGGTTTATTACAATTCATGCAAAATGTGCTTCAGTCTGTTGATCACAGAGTGTGTGTGTGTGTGTGTGTGTGTGTGTGTGTGTGTGTGTGTATATATATGTAACACTAGAATGTTGCATATGCATATGTATTACACTTAAGGAAGTACTTCTGTGTGTTAATAATACATCCAATATGTGTGTGTGTGTGTGTGATATATATATATATATATATAAGTATATAATCATATATATAAGCATATACTTATATATTTATATATATAAGTATATAAGTACTTGCATAACTCATAACTATACATACAGGCCATATTATTACATATACACTGCAAAAAATGGTGTCTTGTCAAGTAAAATCATCTTAATCTAGTCGATATATCCAATATTTCACCTGTTGAGATTGTTGTAAGCTTATTTTAGGATTATTTAACTTATTTGCAAACATTTTTACTTGTTTTAAGTCATTTTATTAAGTAAATTTATCTCACTATATTGGCAGATAATTTTTTTTCTTATTTTAAGAAATGTCTTTGAAACAGGCTAAATGATCTGCCAGTATAGAGAGATCATTTTCCTTAATAATAAAAAAAAAATACTTAAAACAGGTATAAATGTCTAGAAATAAGGTAAATAATCTTATAATAAGTGCAGGACCATCTATATATATATATATATATATATATAGATACACACACACACACACATATATGTATATATATATATAATATATGGTACACATATACGACTCATCCTGCCATTGTATAAAAACAAGCCCATGTGTTTGGGGATTCATTCATTGGTCTCTTTGTAGCAGACGCTGCATCACTGTGCTCCTCTGTCTGACCTGCTAAGAGCTTTAGCTCACATTAAAGCGAGATGATCAGGGCGGAGCTCAGGGCAGAGCTCAGGCCCTGCACCGATTCCTGTGTTAAAAAAGGTCGTGTAACCTTTGGCGCAGATTAACCTGTGTGAGTTGTTGTAATGGGATCTTGTGCTGATGATTCTGTTCTATTATTAGCTTTTTTGTTAATTTGCTTAGACAGAATTGTCTAAGAAAGTCTCTCAGTGCATCGATACTACAGATCTCAGTCTGGAATTAGACCTAAGCTGTCAAGACCAGAATAGTTCCCGTAGTTACACTATATGGCCAAATGTTTGTGGACACCTGCTCATCTAATGTTTCCTCCAAAATCAACAGTATTAACAAGGGGTTTGTCCCCCTCTGCTGCAGTAACTGTCTCTACTCTTTGGGGCTTTATGTCAGATATTTGATTGCATTCAGCAGTAGGACCACTAAGGAGTTAAGGTACTGATGTTGGATGGTCAGTTCTGGATCACTCCAACTCACTGGATGGAGCTCCATCATTAGAGAACGCAGTTCTATTGCTCCACAGCCCACTGCTGGGGGGCTTCAAAGTCCTCTAGCCTACACTTGGCATTGGACATGGTGACCTTAGGCTCGTATGTGGCGGCTTCAGAGCTCCGTTCTATTGTCAGTGCTTTTCTATGGAGATTAAACAAGGTATGTGTGCATTTGAACTCCTGTGTCAGCAGTGAGTGACCTTAATGCAGCTGAAGTCCACAAACTTTTGGACATATAGTCTTTCTGTAAAAATGGACAAAGATACAGCAGTGTGCAAAAGTCAGACTGCCATTCATTAATTTAATATCAAGTTATTACAAAGACTTCTTGACAGCTACACATCCTTTCAGACCCACAGCGCTGAGCCGTCTTCTCACAGTGGAAGGATGGACAGAAACACCTGTGGATGTTTTCAGATCTGAAGCAGCTTGATTTTCTCCTCTCTCTCAGAGATGAAAGCTTTAAGTACTGTTTATCTGATGGGGCAGTTTTGGGGTCGACCAGGATTATTATATCTAATTTCCTGAGAAATATCTGATGCAAAATTACTAGTTTTTAAAAGCTATTTTAACTAGAAATTAAATAAATTATGTCTTTTGCACAGGAATATATTTAACATAGCTAAAAACAACAGTAGCAGCCACCTTTTTGTCCATACAATCTCAAAACAGATGCTCTGTACAGATAAGAGTCAAGTTGCAAGACAGCTGCTACTGTTTTTAGTGCTAGGCTAATTGGTGAGATAAAAACTTCCAGCATCGTAGCTTCAGTGCAAAACGAAAGAAGCAAACTTCAGACAACAAACGTCTTGTCCGGGGTCGCAACCCAAATGTTAAGAGGAGCCATTCTGTCCTTTCAACAAAAATCAAACCATCTTGGGAGCCACAACACTTTATGTCCATTATACTATCATGGCTGGAAATGTGTCTCAGTATGTGCTAATATATGATAAAGATATATAAACAAAAACACAGACTCACTTTGCTCTGCTTTAAACTTTAGCTCAGCTATAGCCCGCTTTTCTCACATCTCCAACAGGAAACTTTTCAAAAGTAGAACAGTTTCTTTGTAAATGAAAATGTAAGGAAACCAGCTGGAGTGATTATAAATGCAATTAAGTCCATTCATCTATAATTTATCAGTGTTCATCTGAAATCTCTCTCTTTGCCGTTTCGTTAGCTACTAGCTAGGCGAGATTGTTATCTGTGTTGCTATGGTAACCAGCAGTCTGCGCTGATCTTCAGGGTTAAAGGGTGAATCAGCAGTTCTACATTAACTCCAGAGTTTAAGACCATTTATTGTTAAACTGTGTTGAACGATCAGCAGAGCTTTATTTTACTGTAAAGGAGGATTATTTTATTTTTACCTACAGATCTGATTCTGCTGTGGAGCCACAACAGGACAGTAAAAGAGCTGCATGTGGCATGTTGCCGACCCCTGGTCTTGACTGATCGACAACATTTGAGATATGGGTGAGATTTTTGGCAGAATCAGTGTTTCTGGTCATGGGTTATTATTTTTTGACCTTCTGTGTATCATAACTGTACTATTTTTCCATTGTTACCTAATTAAACTCAATACTTAATCTGCTCTTTGTACACTGACGGAACTAAAGGCTGGAAAACAGCTACTCTGAGTCCAGCACATATGGATTCAAGAAATCCTTTGTTTGTTGGGCTCCTGTATGCTTAACCACACAGGAGCCCAGTAGAGTGGCGTGTTTTACTCTAACTGAAGGAACAGAGAGAAAAGAACATGATCTGTGCTTTCAGGGATGAGACTCGACTGGACTGACACTCAGGCCTGAACGTCTCTGACTCGCTGTCCTGTCTGGAAGCTAATTGTTCTTTCCTGTTTAACAGTGATTCTTCATTAGACTGGCTGAGACTTCGAATCCAATTAAGTGTATGTCATCTTCATCTGCTGCTGCACGAAATAAGCTCAGATAAATCAATAGTGAGTCCTAATCCAGTCCTACAGCCCTCATCTAGAACTCTGTACTTCTCAGAGCATTAACATCTCCGTAACTCAGAGAGGGAACGAACGAGAGCTGTTAGCTTTGACTTCCCAGCGCAGTGAGTTTCCCCTGTCCAGAGCATGCCCAGAGGAGTCCTGGGTCCACTCTGAGTTTCTTTACTCGTGTTCGTAGCATCTGTCTCCTTTTCAGTTTTGGTTCCTCTCAGAGGTTCTTCCTCGTGTTCTTAGAGTTTCTCCTTTTGGGTCTTGGTTCCTCTCAGAGGTTCTTCCTCGTGTTCTTAGAGAGTTTCTCCTTTTCAGTTTTGGTTCCTCTCAGAGGTTCTTCCTCATGTTCATAGAGAGTTTTTCCTTTTGGGTCTTGGTTCCTCTCAGAGGTTCTTCCTCGTGTTCTTAGAGAGTTTCTCCTTTGAGTCTTGGTTCCTCTCAGAGGTTCTTCCTCGTGTTCTTAGAGAGTTTCTCCTTTTGAGTCTTGGTTCTCTCAG